TGCATCCCAGGTTCAGTTCTAAACTTATTGGGCTTTTGTTATTGTATTGTTATTGGTGGTGATGATACCTACCTACCTATCTACCTACCTACCCACCCACCCATCTATTTTCTGAGAAGGGCTCACTATGTAGCCCAGGCTGGTCTTGAAGTTTCAGTCATCTTCCATCTGTCTATCTTCTTGTTCTTCTTTGAGACAGGGTTTCTCTGTTTAGCCCTGGCTGTCCTGAAATCCACTCTGTAGACCAGGCTGACCTCAAACTCAGAGATCCACCTGCCTCTGCCTCCTTAGTGCTGGGATTAAAGGTGTCACCACTGCCTAGCTCCCTTCTTAAATCTTTGCTTAAACTAAAAGCTGCACCTAACTCTGATGAGTCTAAACATATCACAGACTAAGCTGCAGTCCCAACTTACCCAAGGAAGCTGTTGGCCTAGACTGCACACTGCCACCTAACGGGTGTGGATTGTGAGTAGAGCTCAGTCCTGGGACATCTTGTGCTGCGGATGCCAGAATGTTCCTGGTATTTTGTGGCCCTTGTCTCCCTTGCTGGTCCCACTAGCTGATGGTCAACCCTCAGCAGGCCAAACTGTGGTCCAGGTTAATGCAATGAGAGTGGTTTGGTGGCATCTGTCCAGTGAACAAGAAAGGCCCATGGGGCACTGGGGTTTGGGTGTGTCAGCAGAAAAACCACAGGCTCTGTAGGGCCTCTGGCTGCAGTCACTCTGGGGCCCTTATTAAGAGAGATAAGGGTTAGGGCAGAGGGAACTACTGGGTTATATTCCATTGTTTTGTAGACAAAAGTTACTATTTGTGTTTAGCTGACATCCACCTACAAAAAAAAACAGAAAAAGATACAGAGGAGGGAAAATTACCTATAATTTCAACTTCCAAGAGATAGCCATTTTTATTTTTGGATTTTTCCCTTTTAGATTGTTTCAATCTAGTCAAACATATTTGTATACACATGGCTTATAAAATTGGTCGACTGTTATGTTGGCCATGCACTACCATCTACAACTTTCTCAACAGGAACTGGGATGTGACTGACCTTGTCCCCAGCTTTAGGAATGGGCCAAAATTTTCATGTCACATGATTGGATCATGGAAAAATTAGTGGGGTATAAGGAGACTTTTACTGGGAATTTGAAATAAGAAACTTATTTTCTGTCTTGGAAATTTTGGAAGAAAGGAAGGTGTAGGCATGGGTTAGTGAGTCCATGAGAGCCGGAAATAAAGGGATATCAAACATTTACTGGAGAACACTCATGAATAACAGCAAGGTAGAGAGCTGCCCTTCTCTTGGATCGTTGTGGAGCATTGTAGCCCCGTAACCGCGAACACCAGCTCCCTACACTTAATATATATTTATAATTGTTTGGCCAATGGCTTAGGCTTACTACTGACTGGCTCTCCCTCTCTTATAAATTAACCCATCTCTACTGATCTGTGTGTCACTACATGGCTGTGACTTACCAGTGATGTCCTGGTACATTGTCTCTCTGGCAACTACATGACATCTCCCCAACTCCACCTTTCTCTATCTCTGGATTTTCTGCCTGGCTTTACTCTGCTTAGCCATTGGCTGAGATCGCTTTATTCGTCAAGCAATAAAAGCAATACATATTTTCAGCATACAGAAGGACATCCCACATCAGGAAGGAGGAGGAGAGCCCAACCCCCCTCTCTAAGAAGCAGATGGTGCCAGTGGCTCTTCAATAGCCAGACCTTTTTAATTTTTATGTTTTAAGATGGGGTCACACCATGTTGCTCTGGTTGGCTTGGAACTCATAGAGATCCGCCTGCTTCTGCCTCCTGAGTTCTGCGGTTAAATGTGTGTGGGCCACCACACTCAGCTCTAGGATTATTCACTGCGTGTATTTATCGTGTGTGGGTGTGGGCATGCCATGGCTTGCTTGTGCAGGTCAGAGGACAACTTTCGGGAGTTAGTTCTCTCTTACCTTGTGAGGTCCAGGGATTGAACTCAGGTCGTCGGGCTTTGCAGCAAACACCTGTACCTTCTGGACCACTTAGACAGCCCTTCACTTTAGATTTTGAAACATGCCATCTCACCAAATCTAGGACTAACTGATTTGGCTAGACTGGCTGGTCAGCAAGGCCCCAGTATCTTCCTGTCTCCTGGTGCTGACTACAAACATGGTCTGGTACACTTGGCTTCTTATGTGGACTCTAGGGATCTGAACTTGAGTCCTTATGCTTGTCCAGCAAGGGCTTAACCCACTGAGCCAGCTCTGCAGCTCTAAGCTTGTTTCAAAATCTTAACAATCAAGCCAATGAAAAAAACATGCAGGGGGTTCTTACTCTGAATACAAATTTGGCCTTGAGCTTGAGGCAATTGTCTTGCCCCCTGCCTCCTGAGAGGCAGGGTTGCAAGTGTGCACCACCACACACATGGCTAAAATCCTTTGTGTATGTGTATAGTATTTTTTTGGGGGGGGTTTTCGAGACAGGGTTTCTCTAGCTTTGGAGGCTGTCCTGGAACTCACTTTGTAGACCAGGCTGGCCTCCAACTCACAGAGATCCGCCTGCCTCTGCCTCCCGAGTGCTGGGATTAAAGGCGTGCGCCACCAACGTCCGGCTGTGTATAGTATTTTTAAAGATTTATTTTGTGTTCTGATGTTTTTGTCTGTGGACATGCAGTGCTCACAGAGGCCAGAAGAGGGCATCAGATACCTGGAACTGGAGTTAGATGAAGATGGTTGGGAAACACCTTGTGGGTGCTGGGAAGTGAACCCTGGTCCTCTGGGAGAACATGTCCATGCTCTTAACCCTGGAGCTGCCTCTCTAACTCATGTGTGTGTGGGGGTATTTTTTGTTTGTTTGTTTTTTCGAGGCAGAGTTTCTCTGTGTATCAGTCCTGGCTGTCCTGGAACTCAATTTGTAGATCTGCCTGCCTCTTCCTCTCAAGTGCTGGGATTAAAGGCAAGCCACCACTGCCTGGTCATGTGTGGTATTTTGTTGGCCTTGAACTCACTATGATATTGAGGATGACTTTTTAAAAATATTTATTTATATTTTATGCATGGGAATGTTTTGCCTACAAGCAAGTCTGTACACCACGTTTGTCTCCCCAGTGCCTGCAGAGGGTATGTTAGGACACAGGATCCCCTAAACTAGAGTTACAAACAGTTGTGAGATGCCATGTGGGTGCTGGGAATCAAACCTGGGTCCTCTGGAGGAGCAGCCAGTGCTCTTAACCGCTGAGCCACCTGTCCAGCCCCTCAGAGGATGACTTTGGAGTCTGATCCTCTTGACCTATCTCTTCAGTGCTTTCGTTATCATGGCCAGCTTTTCACATTGGTGTGGGGATCCAGACTCCTGTCTTCATGAATATGCAGCAATTAATCCCACGTTAGGCTATCTCCCCAGCTTAAAACCCAATATGTTTACATTGTGTGTGTTCGTGTGTCTGTCTCTCTCTCTCTGTGTGTGTGTGTGTGTGTGTGTGTGTCTGTGAGTGCTTGACACCACATACATGTGACGGTCAGAGGGCAATTTGTGGGAGTCTCTTCTCCTCTGGGAATTGAACTCAGGGCATTAGGCTTGGCAGCAAGTGCCTACAATCACTAAACCATCTTTCTGGCCTCCCAAATCCTGTTTTCAATGTGCGTTTTTAAAGTGGTGGAATAAGCACAGGAAGGTAAAAATACCTCAGATCACAAAGCAGCCTCGTCTCAATGTTGATGGGGTTCTCTGGATTCATTGGGAAAGGGCACAGTGCGTTCTTGCTGTCTGCCAGGGATGGTTCCAAGGCTCCCTTCCAAACCCAAACTGGAAATATGAGGATGCTCAAACCCATAGATAAGACAAATAGCTTAATATTTCCCTAAAATCTGTGTGGCCCTCTCTTCTACTTTACATCATCTCTAGATAATTTATAACACCTAATACAATGCAAATGCTATAAATAGTTGTCACACTCTATTGGTTGGAATAATGACAAGAAAAGAGTCTGTACATGTTCAGCACTGAGGCAGTTTTTACTTCCTGATATTTCCAACTTGAGACTGGTTGAATCCAAGGTGACAAAGAGCTGACTGTACTTTCTGTGTCTGCTGGAGGCGTGAGGAGGTGAAGTTGCACATGCATCATCTTTGGTCCAGAGAAATGATCTGCACAGGTGTTTGGGGTTCAAACCCAGATCAAGACGTAACTTGATCTATTTTACATTTCTGAAACAGTTCCTAATCTGCAAAATGGAATTCATTGGGGGAGGGGCAATCTTGATGGACGGAAAGAAGGGATTGTTTTCCATTGAAGACAAGTCCTAATAATCCCGGGAGGCTGGGGCAGGAGCATTGCTTTTGGCTCAAGGACAGTCGGGGATAGGTCTGTGTGTTTGGCATGTACAAAGTGAGTCAGTCCCCCCCTCCATCTCTGATCAGATGCTGTTCTAATGAGAGGCATTATGCGTGTTAATCCTTTCAGCCTTTCTAGGTAAAAATGATAGATAATACTCCTTTTAAAAAAGAATTTATATTTATTATTGTTATGTGTGCCCTGTGATTCAAGGTAGTTTTACCTTCCTGAGCTCATTCCACCACTTTGAATAACTATATTTATTATATATATTCTATCTGTGCAGGCACGCTTATGCCAAGGTGCGCGAGCGGGGTCGCGTGTGGAGGACAGAGCACAACTTGTGGGAGCCGCTGTTTTCCTTTCACTTTTTTGCGGTTGAGGGGGATCAAACTCAGGTGTCAGGCTAGCATGGTAAACGCTTTTACCCGCTGAGCCTTCTCGCGTTAGGCCATGCATAATAGTCCTTTCTACAACGTGCGCTTTGGAGAATTGAAGCTTTGATCGGAATTTTGTTCAAAGACAACAAGAGATTTCTTAGGTTTCTGCTTCCTTAAATCTGACCCAGAAATCCTTGTGTCCTCCTGCGACCCGCCTGCGCCCTCTGGTGGCACAAAGTGGAGTTGTCTCGGGGCATCCTGCGGGAGCGTGCACACTCAGTGGGCAAATACAGTATGGAAAATTTCAGGACTGGGAATGTGAAGTCTGGAGGACCAGAGAGCAGCTGGGACAGGGTTGGGGGCTAGTCGGAGGCGCCCACCCAAGCCTGTTTCTAGCTCTGGGAACGTGGTTTATGGATGGGCGGAGCCTTTTAACTGGGGCGGGGCCAGCCTGCAAGCCAGACGTGGCGCTGCGGCCGAGTTTGGGTGCAGCCTGCTGAACGTCTCCTGCCAGGCACAGATGAGCATCCTAGTGTGGCCGCCACCGCTGCTGCTGCTTCTGGCGGCCCTTGTGGCTCCAGCCACCGCCGCCACCACCTACCGACCGGATTGGAACCGTCTTCGAGGCCTGGCCAGGGGGCGGGTGGAGGTGAGTGTGCCTTTTCCCATCCGTAGTACGACAGTCCCAGAACCCCGCAGCCCCTGAACCCTGGAATACAGCTGACTCTGGCCTCAAGAAGAGCAGAATCCCTGAATCTCCCCCTTTGCTTCCTGCATGGCGCCGGAATCAACCCTTCTATTTTCCAGCCACAGAATGCACAGCGAACACTGTGCGAGCGATTGAAGTCGACCTTACGGCCTGGCATTCTGAACCCTTGCTCTGATTTGACCGTACCGTGGATCTCTTGGCACCCATTTCCCTCTTTTCCAGGCTACAATTCTCCTAAAACTGCTCTTTAGAACTTCCCCCTCCTTGATAACCCCACTTTTCCTTATTATTCCTCCCCCACCCGGATTTTAGTGCCTGACGTTCAAGCGTCTTCTTCTGGGGGAGAAAAGACCTCCTAAGCTCCTCCCCTCACTGGACTATGCCTGGAGCTGGAGGAGAGGACAGGGAAGTGAGATACCAAGGCATCCCAGCAGCTCGGGACCACTACCCTCGTCTCTCCACCCCCACTAAGGAATTCCCCTAGAGTCTTCCTAAGTGGTTCAGATGCTTGCGGACTCTCCATGGGCCTTAGTCATTTTCTGAGAAAAAGGAATGTAAGGGAGGCTTGAAATAGGCAGTTGTGAGGTCTGGACTTCCTGTTGGGGGTGGCCTCCCTTCAGGGAGTACAGCGGGTCTGGTCCACCCAACCTCCCCGGGCAGGAAGGGTAGCAGATGGTTTGTGGAGCTGGACCACAGGTGGCTGGCAGGGCTAGCTCTGCATGGGGTGTGGTAGGGACCAGATGGCAGATGCCTCTAATAAGGCCCCAAGGGCAGTTCTGAACTGTTTCCTTCTGGTCTGACTCTCCCGTGAGGTTTCAAGGGCTAAAGACCATGTTCAGAACTCTGCTGGCAGTAAGGAGGGTGCTGTAACACCTGTCTCCTGGGCACGGGTCAGCTATGGGTTCCCTGCAGGCAGGAACCCATGGCTAGTTTTCCCTCACCCTTGACCCTGTGTCTCTAGGTCTGAGTTTCCCTACTGCACAGAGGTCTCCCTGTCCACAGAACCTTTACCTCCACACCTGACGCTGCCGCTCCAGCCTGACCCAGCTCAGTGTTGAGGATAGCATGGTCTTGGCTGTATAGTGACAAACTCCTGATTTACCCCATTTTCTCTCTCTCCAGACCTGTGGAGGATGACAGTTGAATCGCCTAAAGGAGGTGAGTTTGAAAGAAGGGGTTCCCTTAGGGAATAAGCAACACTACTTACTGACTGGGGGCGGGGGAGGAATTCCTGCACTCTGAGGCAGGAGACTGGCCCTGACTTGCTATATGACCTCCGTAGGCCTCATTTCCCCATGTCTAGAAGGTTCTGAGGTCCCATTTTCTAATGTTGTGGTTCCTCCCCAGGTGAAGGCCTTTGTCACCCAGGACATTCCACTATAGTATCCTTCTGTTCTGGGGAAGGGGAGTGGGGGGGGAGCTTCTGGTTTTCACAGAGATAGAAAGTGATTTTTGTCTGCCAAAGAGGTTGATAAGAACTGCCCAGAGGATTCTGAGGAAGTCTCAAAATTAAGTAGACCGGTAGATTAGTGGAGAGAAGAAGGGTCCTTTACTTCTTTAAACCGTAATCTCACAGCCAGTGAGGATTGGGTCCCCATCTAGGCTCCAAGGAAGTGATCAGCTAAGGGGACTCAGGAGCCACTCTTTGCCTCTGCCCCCACCCCCTTAACATCCTGACTCCAGTCACAACCTGGTGATGAAGCACCTCCCTGGGGCAGATCCCGAACTCGTGCTGTTAAGTCGAAATTACCAGGAACTAGAGGTGAGGCTTTGGCGGGAGGGGCCCTAGGGCGGTGCTGAAGTGCTGACCCCGCCCTTTCTCCGTCTCAGCGCATCCCACTCAGCGAAATGACCCGCGACGAGATCAATATGCTGGTACAGGAGCTCGGCTTCTACCGCAAGTCGGCGCCGGACGCGCAGGTGCCCCCCGAGCACCTGTGGGCGCCTGCTAAGCCTCCCGAGGACGCTTCAGAGCGCGCCGACCTGTAGCCCGGAGCCGCGGTGGAGCTGGGACCCCGTGCCAGCGCCCCGGAGACAGAATGAAGCGCTCAGTATCCCGGGAGCATCTCCCTTGCTGAGGGCTGACACTAGTCTCCAAAGCAACGGAAATGGGGTTGGGGGAATTCATCTCACTCCTCCCTTTCGCCTCCCCAGCTCTATTAAATGCCCTTCCGCCATTACTAAGGGTCTTCACTTTACTTGCTGCGGGTAGATGGTGTGGGAAATCAAATCGGAGTTCCTGAACACCCTGGGGTGACTCCTCCCACTGCCTGGCTGTGGGAGTTGCAGGCAGTGGGAGTTGGGGATAATTCACAACCTGCCGCCATTCCCCAAGACAGCAGAGAGAAGTCAGGATCGTTGAAAACCAATAATTTATCAAAACGCTGCGTGTGTACAAGGGGGAAGGGTGTTTCGACAGACCGGGCAGCAGTGTCCAGACGCACTGGGGGCGGGGGAGGGACGGTGCTAGGATGGGGTGGGGACGTCCTGCAGCGCGGGCGGGGTGGTGCGAGCTGAGTGGCTACACATTCTTGCCGCGCAGGCGCAACTCATGGCGCCGCAGGTGGTTGTACAGCGATTGCACATAGGTGAAGACGCATTTGGGGTCAGGCTTTTTGCCCATGATCATCATGTCCTCCACCTCCACCAGGGGCACACAGTCCACCAGCATCCTGCAGGGGAAGGGGCACAGTTGTCGTCGTCAGCGCTGGACTGCTTTTTGCTGGGCACCTCTACCCCGAGGTCTTTTCTTAAACTCCAGACTGTCCATCAGTTAGAAACATTTTTCAGGAAGGGGAAGGCACATCCATGCCCAGGGGCCATCCTGCCCACAGGCTAAGCAGGTAGAGGATAAAATGGAGCTGTGGAGTGAGCCATGCCCTACCTCAGGCAGGCAGGTTCTGGCTCTAGACCCTAACTCCTTCCTCTGAGGAGAGCCCATCTCCTGCTCATGCACAGGTATAACCCAGTTGGTAGAGTTTCAGCTAGGTCATTGTACCAGGAGTCCCTAGTGACCCACTTTCTCCTAGGGGACGGGTCTCCTACTGGAAATGGAGGCCAGGAGGTATGTCAGGGTGGTCCCAAACCCTTATCTGTCTGCATTGGGTGGAGCAAGGGAAGCAGATGAGGACCCCGGCTGTATCGGCTACACCCTACTGCTCAGTGGAGCAACCACTCTGCTGACTCTCCTGTGCTGCAGGAGATCACAGGGTGCCAGGATGAACCTGGTATGGGACACAGGCCCTCAACCATGATGTTGGCAATTGCCTGGAGCTCCCCTTTCCCTGCTCTAGGAACCTATCCTCCCCAGCTTTAAGATGGGATACAAGCTCAGCTTGACAGGAGTCTCTTTGGCTTTGCCTCCTGTTTGCACTGGTCTCGCATTACTGTTGCTCCGTAAGTTCACTTAGGCAGAGAAGGCAAAGGCAGATTGCTGCTGTTCCCAGACATGGGATAACCCAAGATTCCCCTACCACCTGGTACCCACATGGTCAAATGGCTCACCTAGGCCATTTTTGCGGTACTGGAGATTAAATCCAGGGCCTCACGCTTGAGACACAAGCTCTCTACCACTGGAGTCTCAAAAAATTGCTGGGGCTAGTCTTGAAATCACTCTGAAGCTCAGGCAAGGCTCAAATTTGCGATTCTCCTACCTTGGCCTCCAGCGTAGTTGGGATCACAGCCCAGCTCCTCACCATTTTTTTTTACATAGACACTGAGAAGCAGAAAATTTGTCCTGGTTCTACCTCTGATCTCTCGTTGATGCTGGACAAAACTCTGCCCTCCTTTGTGATCCTACCCCCCCCATTAGTCATCCCCAACCCCATGAGACCTTGGGAGTACTCAGGGTGACAGGTACCTGGCTCTACAGATGACGGGCTATGTACCCTTGGGGTCATCCCCACCCCACACTTGGCTTGTTTGTCCAGCTGTACCATGGTGAAGAGACAGCCTCTCTCTGGCGCATCTTCCCAAGGATCCCCCCCCCCCAGCTCCCTCCTGCCGTGGTGCCTTCCCTGGAGACCTTATAAAGCCATTGTTTATACTGGGGTACATGGTTCAGGCTACCCAAGTGACAAGCCAAACACCAGGCAACTAAAGCAACAGCACGTAGCTGAGTCACACTTTCCTACTGGATCAGACCTACACTAAACCCCTTTCTCTTTAGAGAGGCCTTCTGAGCAGCAGCTAAGTCCATATATGACCTAGAGACTGTACCAAGCCTGTTTTTCCACACCTGGACCTCTGAGTGTGTGTACACACATGCTCCTCCCCCCCAGGGACCCTGACCCAGGAGGGTCCCAGTGCACCCTTGTTGACTGAGTCAGATGTCTTCCAGCAATCCCTTTGAACCTTCCAGTTCCCTTTAGACCTCTATCTTTGCTCAGCCCTAGCTCTGATCACTTGTGGATGCTGGGTAACCCTCTGCCCTCTTCTGCGGCCCTACCTCTGCCTCTCACTTACTTCTGTCTACAGAACTGGCAGGGCTAGGAAAGGCACACTAAATGGAGAGCCTGGGATCACTCTGTGACCTGAACTTGCTTTTTGAATTCCTTGTCTGTACTAGGACAGCCAGTTCAGGTCTGAATTCTCTATTGTGGTCCTGAGGTGAGCTGACCAGAGAGGAAAGCCATATGGCTTAGGGGATCCAGCCAGAAACATCTTCCTGTTGAACCGGCCCTGCTCCCAAGCTCCCCATTTTGGAGAAGGTCACCGCCAACTCCCCATATGGTACATTCTGAGCTTGACTGTGTCTTGGCTCTCCCTTTCTCCAGACCAGATCAGGGAGCCTGTCTTCCTACTTTTTTTTCTCTCTCTCTTTTTAAGACAGGGTCTTGTAGCTGGGCAGTGGTGGCGCACACCTTTCCTCCAGCACTCTGGAGGCAGAGGCAGGTAGGCCCCTGTGAGACAGGGCTCCTGCATGCTGGGATTGCAAACATGCAGCACTGCACCTGGCCCTAGCCCCTCCCTCTACTTCTGATGCTGTTCCATCAAGGGTTGTTCTAGGATGCTAGCCTGAGTGCACCTCTCCTGTTTGGATGCCTTTGACTCCTGGGTCAGAAGGGAGTTCGAACTCAAACTGTGGTCTCTTCCTTCCACCTCTCAAGCCCCTTCCTTCAAGGCTGTGCTGTATTCGCCGTCTCTCTTGTCCCTGGCCCCATTCTGTGCCTGCAGCGCCTTCTCCTTCTTCAGCCTGAACTCTCTGGATCCCAGTTTAGTTTCCTCTTTTTTACAGATTGCCATCCTGGGCTGAGGCCTGAGTCTGGGGCCTCCTGGGCTCCCCTTGTCATCACTACCCATTGGCAATAGCGTCACCTAGGGCCCTGCCTGCCTCCTTTGGCTTTTCCAGGCCCCCCCGTACTTCCCCTTTCCCCTAACCCCTCTCTATGCACTGATGAGCAGATTCCGGTGAAATGGGACAGGTGGGAGAGGAGACATTTCTCACCGTGGGGCCCCAAGCAGGGGTTAGGACTTTTTGGTTTTTACCAGCCCCTTCTGGACCAGACAGCGGTAGAATTCCTGGATGTACGTGTACACGCACTTCCAGTCAGGCTCTCGAAGCCGCACCATGTCCTCTGTATCCAGGAGCTGCGGGCAGTCCGCATGGGTCCTGGGGAGGGTAGGGGGCCGGGCGGGGGCAAGGGGCAGGACCCGGTGGAGGAAGGAGGGAGAGAGGTCAAGAGAGAAGGGAGGACAGAGACACACACACACAACACACACACACAGAGACATGAGTTCAGTTACGTTGTCAGTGCCGCGGTCTGCCAGCCTCCCGCATGCCCCCTCCCAACGGTGGGCGTGCCGCTCACTACCCATCACTAATGGTGTGCGGTGCAGACAAGGGTGGGGGGGCAAACCAGTCACAGGTGCAGAGAACTCTCGGGGCAAGCGGGGACGCAGGGGGGAGGGGGGCCGCGGCTTTGGTGCCGAGGTTGGAGAGGAGGGCTGTGCCCCAGGGAGGGGGTGAGGGAGGCGTGAGAGGAGTGTGGGAGGAGGAGGGAAATCCCGGAGGGAACCAGAAAGAGAAGGGGAGGATGAGAAAGAGATGGAGGAGGGTGCTTGGGTGCAGTGTGCAGAAGGGGCAACGATTCCAAAGTGGAGGGCTTTTGATGTCCTATATAGGCCTATATAGGTCACTCGGGCATGATGCCTGGGCCAGGAGCCTCCTTTTGGAATCTCCAGCCGGGATCCCGTGGGAGCAGGAAGCTCTGGTGACAGTAGGAGGAGAGCAGGACAGAGAAATGGAGAGAGGAGGGACAGGGGCAGAGGGAGGAGGGAGAAGTTATGGACAGGGCCACCTGGTGGGCTGTAGCCTGGGTTGGTAGGCGAGCCTGCCGCTCCTTCCTTCCGGTGGGCACCTGGCACACTCAGCAACGGGTGGGCATGGGATGGAAACTCTCTGGGGAAGGGGCTCTTTCTCATTTGCAGACCCCCAGTACAACTGGCCACTTCCATGGGGTCTCAGGGCTGCTGAGCCCAGCTGACGCCCGGAGGCAGGGGCCCATACTTACTCGGCAGATGAGAAGGCCATCTCAAAGTTCTGGCGCCTGTTTTGTGGGCTAAGCTGCCCATAGTCAAAAGCCTCAGGGAAGAAATTGTGCACCAGGGCACAGAAGGCCATCCCATCACTCCAGCTGGAGGAGAAGTTCTGGATGTCCACATGCTATGGGAGGTAGGAGCACTGGTCAGGACACTGGAGGGCAACCTTCCCATGTTTGCTAACCCTCCCCCATCCTGATGTCTTAGCATTCCAGCCCTATGGCAACTGGGCTCAGACTGACCTTGTAGCCTGCTCAAAGCAGTCAAAACATGAGCCTCTTCCAGTTTGGTTTATGAGCCCCAGAGCTGTGATTTTTTTAAGGGGTGGGGCTGCTGAAAAGCCCAGTGCCACTTAGCTCAGGCAACGTTCCGGTCACCCCTCCCCTCGCTCATGTTTACTCTGTGTAACACTGAATGGACTCCAAGAGCAGAAACCGTCCTTGAGTCATGCCCAACAAGCCAAAGGGCTCTCGTTGGTCCCTTCTGGGATCCAGAGCCGGGTACGTGGTCTCCCTGATACTGACTTTTCCCGTCTGAGCATGATTTTCGTGTTTCCTGCCAGAGCACATGGCAGCTATGAAACAATTCTAAGGAGCCGGTACCAAGCTATCAGTTCCGCTGGGCTCACCTCGTAGCCCCG